CTAAGGACAAACGGAAGGCACAGGTAAGTGCAGTTGCAGCTAAGGCCCTAGTTAAAATTGTATGAAATGGAGGCATGGTTGAAATTTGAAATACTCAAGCATTATTCATTGGTGGGGTGGCCAGGATTCCAGCTAAATTTGAGATTACAGAACGTGGGTGGAAATAGTCCAAGATACACAGGTCATACCCATGAAGCTGCAACCAGTAAGAGAATGCCGTCCTTAGAGGTTGTACTGAGGCTTTTGAGCTCATATATTCTGGTCCCGCCAGCAAGGGACCTTGCAACCTCCATGGGGGTGGGGCAGAGAGAGATCTGATTCTGGTGAAGAAGCATTGGGCTATACTGAACAGAAGAAACCATTTTGTCATATGCACACAGCTCAGAGAGAGACAGAACCCTGGAGAGAGCAGGCTGTGAATCCTTTCCACACCTGACATTGGGTAACTGAAACCTAGGAGTTACTGAATGAGTAAGACTAGGTAATGGCTCACTTGGATATAGTTCATTTAACAGTTCTTTTGACATTGCAAGCTGGTGGGTAGCCTAGGATTTTCTCAAGGAAATTAAATACAGAGGACTTCCCATTTGTGCCCCAACTGAGCAGTCCTGTTTGAACAATAGGGATAGTATCTCTACTCATTATTAACAAGTAGAATTTGGGGGATGGGCAGGAAGGCTGAGCCATCCAAGAAGATTTGATACCTTTTTAGCCTTGAGGCATCCCTTGGAATATGCCGGTTTTTAGCTTTCACTCATTTTTTTGATTACGGAATTCTTCTGAATGTGGAAAGACTACAATAGGTAAGAATGTTTTTGATACTAAATACATTCACCTGAAATCTCTGGATCTATCTTATGAATCTTGTGTGGAAGTTAGAAGTGCACTGATATTTTGGTCTGTATTGGATCGACACTGATAAAAGGAAAATTGACATTATCTGCAACGGGCTTTTTTTGGCTTGTGTAGCTGATAATGTCATTGATTAAATACTGCGTGCATACACGCAATCGCAACATGCAAGTGGTCGGGAATGCAGCCGGGCAGCTTGGAGAGCAGCATCCTGCCAGTAATTCTGTGTGGGGGAAGGGGCGTGGGGGGCAGATTGAGCCCCCCCATGGTGAGGGAGGGAGTGGGGCTGGGGCAGAGGCAGGCAAGGCACTGCCCAGCCTAGATGGGGTGTGGGATGGAGCCATGGGCGGCTCGTCCAGGGGACATGGTGGTTGGGGAGCAAGGGGCAGTTCCCCGCTGCTGTGTACATCCTTGGGGGAGACATGGGGAGCTCATGCTCCCTGGATTTATGTATAGGGTGAGGGTGGGCTGCCTGCTGCGGGCTCAGATCCAAGGACTGCGCTGGCTTCTTCCCAGTCGGGGTGGGGAGGCTGGGCCCGGGCTGCGCTTGTGGTGGGTGGCAGTGGTGCTGGGCGGAGTGGCTATGGGGTGGGCTACAGCCACCCCAAAATTTTTCATAGCCTGAAGTTCTGAAGATAATTGACTCCTTCAGGGATGCCTGAATAGAAATGGTGCTTCTGCCCTACAGTTGGTTTTAATCTTGAGGTGAAGAAGAAATCAAACTGTACCACTGCATTTCCCTTGGATTTATCTCTGCTGTGGAGCGAAAGGGTGGAAACCTGTTTCCCAGGATAAGAACCATGGTGAGAGAACCTCACAGCCCTGGGGAAACGACTCAAAAAGTCCCAGGATGAAAAAAAACTTACTGGCTGCAGGAACGATGGCAGAGAGCTGGCAGCTAGGAGAGAAACCTCCCATGCACTTTGCCATCCAGTTACGTACGTGGCTGGGACCGGTTCAAGGTGGTGATGTCAGCTGGCAGCACCGGATGGGAAATTTAAAAGCCAGCTGTCGGGGAGAGGAAAGAGGGCATCAGCTGGAAAGTGGCTGGGAGCTTCCAGCTGGCACCACTGGCACTGGCTCCAAACAGGGACCCAGGACAAACTCCCAATGGGGAGTCTACTTGGCGATGGAGTGGCACCCGGCGTTGAACCCAGAGGGGATGCCTAGGGAATAGCTGTCAACACACACAGGATGAGTGAGTCAGGAGGGGAGAGCATTACGTCCCCATTCCTTTTCAGTTTGTTTAGATTCTGGTGGAAGTTTTCATTGTCCTGAGGTCAGAGCACAGGCCCAGGGGATGCGTCCAGGGCTGAGAGATCAGGGGCCCTCGGGAAGTAGCACAGACAGCCTACTAGTCAGGCTGGGCTGGAAGGGACATGGCTACAGAAAAGAGGAGTGACCCTCTTGGTCCATTAAGGATCAGACAGGCCAAATCCAGCCAAAGTGACTCATGTTCAGTAGTCAGCCCACAACTAGAACTAGTGGGCAGGACGAGAATACATTGTGGGGCCAGACTGGGGTAACATCACAAAGGCCACCAGCTGAGAAATTCAGGAACATCTACCCCATGGTCAAGTCCATCAGGTTGGTGCATGGAAGGGGTGTAGGGGAGGTGGAGACTCAAGGCTGTCTGTTGATGGCACCTCCAAGCAAGGCCCAACTAGAAGGGAACCTCCCGCTCTAGAACAGAAGACCTAGATGTGATGGGCAGGTGTTGGGGGCTTCCCTTGGGAGGTGATGTACGGTTGACGTGGGTGCCCGAGGAAGATCTCAACTGAGGCAGGACCACCTGAGTGGGAGCGCCTACTCGAATCTAGATGTAAACAATCCCCATGTTCAAATCTCAAAGTTTTTAATAGTGTTAGCTCTCTATTTAGTAAGGGATGGGTTGCCAACCGGGGACCGCCCACCCAGCCGGACACGGGGGTCGGGGGAAGCTTGGCTCCGCATCTGGCTGCATACCATCCTGTCCTTCCTTTCCCCCCCTTGGCGGCTGGGGATACACTGCTCTGTGTCTGGCCGCCAGGGGGTACAATGATTCAAAAAAGGTTGAAAACTCCTGTAGTAATGGATTCAGCAAAGAAAGATTTGTTTGCAGAATTTAGAGATCTGTAGTGATAGGGGAGAGATTCAGTACCCAAACTTATACAGAATGGAAAAAAATAATTAATACTATGTACAGACATTCAGTTTGTACTAGGAGAATCACTGTTCTCTTGGTAGAAACCAGAGGTGTACAGATATTCAGGCTTTTTCTTCTGGAACAAAAATGGTTGTTTTGGGAGAGAAAAAAACCACAGAACACCCAGGATAAAGTCAGTCCTGGGAGAGTTTCTCCTGGGAGGCTGAATGTCCATATGCTTTCTCTCAGCTTAACTCCTCCTGGGGACCAGGAAGAATAGAGCCAGGGAAAAGGCTTGCATGCCTTCCTGAGACCAGGGTCACCCTGGTCTGGAGGAGGCATGGGAGCAACTGCTTTGGCCCATCCTGCAGACCTGGGGGGGAGGTCGGTCCTGCTTCTTGTGCCCGAGTTTCTGGTGTGGGAAGCTTTGCCATGCAGCTCCCTCTGCTTGGCTGCTGGGTACTGGAAGCCAAGTGGCAGGGAGTAGCTCAGTCCTGTGGCTGCTTCTTACACCACAGTTCTCAGTGTGAAAAGCAGGCAGGGAGGTTTCCCTGCTGTTTATTGTGTTCTGCTCCTGGGTACCAGGAGCCAAGCACATGGAGCAGCTCTGTCCCCTGCTGCCTTCCCCTGATAGTTATTCATTTGAATAGCTTTTTGTACGCTCTATTTTCTGGATAAGTTTTTGGAAGGATTTGATCTTGTCAGGATGTATGGTTAGAGCCATGCCTTCAGGCACTCAGTAATAAACTGAACAAAAATTTGGTATATCACTAAAGTCTTCTTAGGCAGTTTTATTCAAAGGCAACAATAAAGCAAGCAGAGAAATATAGGTTTTTACATAAATGATGTGTTTTAAAATTAAGTATACACTAGGTTTTTACAGACTTTTTTTCAATATTAACTTCAGGTTTTGAATCCCTCCCTCACCCCCCCATTTTATCTTAACACATTGCCACTAGTTTTCCACAGAACTTTTTCAGGGGGCAGTTTATATTTGGAAAGTGTTAGTCTTGTTTTGACATGGAGAGGGCTTTATGAAGAGAAGGGTCATGATGTGCTGCTGGGGAAGTGCTTTAATTTTTTTTCAGATTGGTTTGGAGATTTTTGGGGTGAGGAGAAAGTTTTGAAAAGTGCGCGAGAGAAGAAATGCTTCCCTTCTCTGTCGGAGGTTTTGTAACTTGTCTGTCTGTTGTTTTTCCTTATATGGAATAGTGCCCCCGTAGTTATTTTATCCCTTTAAGAATAGAAGGGGCTATACTGGTTGCGTTTTCTTATGTGTTTCTTTTCTGTTCTTACTTTTTGTCACTTGGCAGCATAGGACTTCAGCAGAGGAAGGAAAGAAAGGCTCACATAATTAGATCTTGAAAGAAGACTTTTAGCCAATTTCTTCTTTGTTCTTTTTTTTTATGATTAAGTCTTAGTCTCTCTTAGTTCTTTCTTGGAGCTTTTAAAAATGTGGGGTCCTGAAATATATGGATCATAAGAAGTTGAGTGTTCTATTATCCTCTTTCTTGAAGGATGTTTTAACTTAGATACCTCTATTAAGGCTGGCAAAAACAAAGGTCAGACTTCAAACTTGAGTACCTAGATTTAGCATATACATCTTTAGACGCAAATAAAAGTCACCCTATTTCAGAGATGCTAATTTCCTGCAACTCATTGCTCAGTACTAGTGATCCATTGATGTATTGTGTATTCCTTACTCACATAGACCACTTGATCATTCAAATAATCCTGTTGAAACCAGTGCATTCACTGTCAGAAATGTTTGTCAAGGTGAATGAGGGTCCACAAGCAGGCTTTAAAGGTTATACTTTTTATCTGCATTTCCAAATTGGTTTTGATTTAGATGGCATTCATAGCTTTAGAGACCACTTGAAAATACTGGTCAATAGCTCTATCTCTGACTGTGCTCTGGTCACATTGGATCAAACAACTGTTGTAAGCTTTTGCTTTGGATCTTTAATGAATGTTTATTTTGTATGTGTATAAAAGATTAATTTCAATTTGCCTTGTTTTATAGGTACTTGTGCTGGGAAAGGATCTACCAGTAATACTATAACTGTGTCCTATACTGCCTTCATTAAGAATGGATAGAGAGGATTATCAGAAGACTGATGAAGTGGATAAGAGTTTACAAAATGAACAAACAGTGTCTTTGAGAAATACATCAGTAGAAAATGTGGAAGGTGATTCCTTATCTAACCAGAAAACAGGTCCCTTATTAAGTGAAGTGCATAGAAACCTTAAGAAGACAGAAGAAGAGAATGGTACAAACAAAAGGGCATCATCAGAATTGACAAGACCAGACAGTACTGAAGGGAACCAATCTGAAAATGAACCCCTCTCAAAAAGAATAAAGCTGAATTTTTCCAAACATGTTCAAGCAGATGAAGGCAAATCACACAAACTCACAATTAAACAGGAGTCAATTGCAAAAACAGGTAGTAAAACAGATGGAACTATAAAGAAGGCAGCTGTAGTGGGCTGTCTCAGTGGTGAGACTTTACTTTCAAATTGCTTGTGCTCACATTGTGACTTCAGTGCTACTGATGAAGCTGCATTGAAAATTCATTTGGAAAATAAACATTCACAAGAGGCTCCATCTTCTTTCCAAGCGGAAAAAATCCGTGTTAGCTGTATGGTTGAAAACATAGACGTTTTTAAATGCAAAACCTGTGATCGGTTTTTTTCGTCTTGCCTTGATCTGGAAAACCATATTCAAGAGAGCCACTCAAAACAACCCAAAGAATATATTTGCCCTCACTGCACTTATGAAGCAGAATATAATTCAGCTTTACAAACACATGTCAAGCAAGCTCATGGACAATCCAGAATCTTCTGTTGTGATCTCTGCGGTTTTCAGTGTGTCGAGGAGAAGCTCTTACAGTCTCATTTTCTTGGCAAGACGCACCTCCGGCGTCAAAATCTTGCTGCACGAGGAGGATTCGTACAAATATTGACAAAAAAATCCTTTAATAAAAAACAGTATTCAGCAGTCAAAGAGAAGAATGTGAGAGCAAAACCGGGGACCAATAAATCAAGGACAAGAACTGCTGATTCAAAAGAATTAAGAAATGCTCGCAATAAACTGAAGTACTCAAAAGTAAGCTTTTCTAAACAAAGTGATGGCAACGAACTTTTTGTCGAAATGATACCTTCTAAAAATATTACCACTGAAAATACAGAGACTGTTACAGAGGAAAAAGTATTTTCCCTCAGCGCAGAAGGAAATCATGATGTCTCAACTCAAAAGAGAGAAATATCAGGGTCCTCAGAAGACAAACTGGACCAACCAGAACATGCTAATAGTACCAAAAAGATAACTAGCATTTTAAATACAGGGCAGTTTGATAGAACAGAGTATAAAAGAAGCATTTTATCATTAAGACCGTCTTTCAAGAGAAGTACCTCTTTCAGATTAAAAAGGCAGGTTAAAAGAAGATATAATTTATTAGGTATTAATAAAAAAGGAAAACCTGACTCTCATACAATCCATATGAAGGACAATTACAGTATACAGCATAAACCAGGCAATGTAATACCCAAATCTTCTAAAGAATTAGAATCGGATAGCAGTCAATATAAGGCTACCTCAGAAACACAGGATCTTACTAAAGATAGGACGAACATGTGCTCTTCCAGTACTGTAGAAACTGAGGATCCTCAGATGAAACTCTTGGTTGGCCATGGTGTTCTACACACTTGTACTTACTGTGGTCAGGATTTTCAGAACAGAAAAAGTTTAGAAATTCATGTTATAAGCCATTCAACTAAGGAAATGCTGTTTCAATGTCAGATGTGTAGCCACTCATCTTTAATCAGGGAGGACATGGAGCAACACTGTCAAAGCAATAAACATCAAATGAAGGATTTCAGCTTTAATTGTCAGGTCTGTTCATTCCCTTGTTTGAGTGACATAAGCCTTAGAAGCCACATGAATGCAGAGCATAACATGCCCCATAATTGTTCTATTTGTCATCTATATTTTCTAACCGAGGAAGAACTGATAGAACATAAAACATCTGAGAAGCATGTTTGTTTGTTAGCTCAACAAAATACTTCTCCACCAACTAACAGTGATTTATCTTTGCAAACTGTAGCTTATGCTATTTCAGAATCAAATGATAGCCTTCAAAAAGTTGGAGATGAAATAGAAGTGAAGAGGCAGGAAGAGGCCCCAAAGCCATCTGTGGTAAATCAGGGAAATGAGCTAAAGCACTCAGTTTTGAGCAAAACCCAGTTTCAATGTAAAAAGTGTTTTTATAAAACAAGATCCTCCACTGTTCTTACAAGACACATAAAACTTCGGCATGCACAAGGATATCATTTTCTTTGCAAAGCGTGTAACCTTTATTCCCTGAGCAAAGAAGGAATGGAAAAACATATTAAAAGAAGCAAGCACCTTGAAAATGCCAGAAAAAATAATATTGGTTTACGTTTTGAGGAGTGTATTGAAAAGGTATATGTAGGTGCAAGTGACATTAAAAGAATAATGGAGCCTTCCCTTTCTGGGAATGTGAATTCTGAATTAGATAAAAGCATACAAACACCATCCTCTACTTTAGAGAGCATATCGACCATTAAAGACTTAGTTCCATCTGGTGAACTTACTGAAAGTGAAATAATTTTGGCCCATGCACCAAAGAAAGGGAGACCGAAAGGCACCAGCTCTAGGACGTGCATCCATTGTGGTCTTCTGGCCTCCAGCGTGACAAACCTGACTGTTCATATTAGACGAAAACACAGTCACCAGTACAGCTATTTGTGTAAAGTCTGCAATTATTATACTGTAACCAAAGGAGATATGGAGCGTCATTGTGCCACCAAGAAACATAAAGGCCGGGTTGAAATGGAAGCAAATGGTAAACAAAATCCAGAGATAATTGCTTGTCCAGAATTAGGTACTTTTGACTCTAGTAGCAAAAAGATCAGCAGTCTTATGGGTGTTTTGAATGACAGTGTTGAGGATGGTAGCCAGTCATCAGATTTGGATACTTCCATCTTGGAAAATCAGGAAGACAACCAGGGAAATACTTCTGTTGAAGTAGAAGTCGAAAATGTACTTCAGTTAGCAGATCTAGAATATACTAAGAACTCTGTAAATATAAAACGGCACATACTTATGGAACCAAATAATGCTACCCGAGATTGTGACCCATGTTTTCAGAGAAGAATGTTGGTTATGAATGATAACAAATGTGGACACTGCAACTTTATTGCTCATTCTTCTTCTTCTCTAGAATTACATGTAAAACGGAAGCATACCAAGGAATTTGAATACTATTGCATGGCTTGTGACTACTATGCAGTTACTCGCAGAGAGATGTCTAGACATGCAGCAACAGAGAAGCATAAAATTAAAAGAGAATCTTATGTTTGCTCTTCATCTGGAGAGGAAGTAGATACAACAAATGTTGCCAAAGAAACCAACTGTATGTCTCATGAGGAGGATCAACAAGATGCAGAACAATTTCAAACAATCTTAGGGGAAACAAAATATGCCAACAGTGGTAAAACACAAGAGGATCAAGTGGAGAAAAATGTATCTGATTGTTCTGCCTTAGATGAAAACACATCTTCAGAAATTTCTAAAGAAAATGATGCCTGCAAAACAATAGAAGATAAGATTGAGGAGGAATCTGATCAAGAAAGTACAAATCTCATTTGTGAAGTCTTTCCACAAACTCCTAAAAAAGATGAAGTTGCTAGATTTGATGAGCTGATACCACTTAAAGAGGCAGACCGTTGTGGTTTGCAGGAAAGTAGGCATGACCAAGACCTACTTAATGCAGATTTCCAGTGCACTACAGCAAATCAAAATGTGTCAAATGATAGTGATGCCCCAAATTTGAATTTCAAAGAAAGCGGGAAAAGCTTGGGAGGAAATGGAGAAAATATTGAAAAAGTAGATGAAAATACTGAAGTTTTTGAAGAAAGGTTGCTAACAGAAAGTACTCCAATTGAGCCAAGTCTTCCAGAAACATGTGATATAGTAGATCAGTCAAACCTTGATAGAAACACTGAGGAAGCAGTACAAAGTATACATAGTTTAGAGGATGACAGAAGTTTCCAAGGGGTTCCTGCTGTGGAGGAGGAAGCCCTTATGGAAGCACAACGTGAAGCAGAAATCACTATAAATAACAACATTTGGGAGGCAGATGGCTCAACAGCTGAGAGTATGCAAGAAACTAGTAGTGAAGCTTTGGTAACTGTTATCAGTTCTGATGATAAAGGAAAGGCAATGCAGAACGTTGACCAGTTTGATGCTTCTATAGTGCGGCTAAAAAGTCATCAAGATGGTGAGTCCACTGACCACTCTGATGAAGGACAGGTATCAGGTGGAGTGAAAGTTAATGAGCTAATTGTGAAAACAGACAGCTCACAAGCTGGTGGGAAAAAGAAGAAATGTGAAGGTAATTCCACTGGAGAATCAACACGTATTCGTTGTGATGACTGTGGTTTTTTAGCAGATGGTTTAAGTGGACTGAATGTTCACATAGCCATGAAACATCCTTCAAAAGAGAAACATTTTCACTGTTTACTCTGTGGAAAATCATTTTACACAGAAAGTAACCTTCACCAACATTTGGCTAGTGCTGGTCACATGAGAAATGAACAGGCAAGTGTGGAAGAGCTACCCGAAGGAGGCGCCACCTTTAAATGTGTTAAGTGCACAGAGCCTTTTGATTCTGAACAGAATTTGTTTCTCCATATTAAAGAGCAACATGAAGAATTATTGCGGGAGGTGAATAAGTACATTGTGGAAGACACTGAGCAAATCAACAGAGAAAGAGAGGAAAATCAAGGCAATGTCTGCAAATATTGTGGGAAGATGTGTAGAAGTAGCAATTCTATGGCTTTTCTTGCTCATATTCGTACTCATACAGGTATGTAAGCCTAAACATTTTGAGCAAATTCTTCAAACAAAAGTGAATTACAACTTCAGCTTCCTCTGCTTCTACCATACTTTTGCTTGCTAACCTTGTTAGTATTCCAAGTCCTCCAGAACTCATATTGCCTTCAGAGTGTGCATTGCTTGATGAGCCATTGATGAAATTAAAAATTATGTTAAGTAGCATGATCCATCGTGGTCAAAGGGCAGGAAACTCGAGGGGTTTCTTGTAATTTCCTTAAATATATTTAAGTGTGGTCACTCTATTGCTTTTAACATTCTTATGGATTTCCTTCCCATACTATAGACTGTAAGTATTAATTGGTACTAAAGTTAATACTGTGGAGCACTTTTGGCTTTAGAGAATGCTGTAATTGTTCTTTATAACTTCTCTCCTATAATCCAGACTGTTTACTTTGAAGTCAGAGTTACACATTCACATTTAAAACCTCAAAGTTAGTTACTCGGTGTTATATCATTCCTGAAGAAATAAAAATAATCAGCATTTTGCCGTAGGAAATAAGATATAGAAATTGGAGTTGGTCAGCCTTCTTAGAAGGTGATATGCGGTGTTGACGTGGTATGCATGGATGCAGGGCCTGATTTAGTTTCTGCGTAGATCAGACTTTTCATTTCTTTTTATGTTTAATTTTGTGAAAAATTTAAAAACATTTTTTGTAGAAAATGCATAAGCTGCAGTTCTAAATTTATGTAAAAATTCACTATGTTTCTATAAACCTGCCATACATTCTTTATTTTAAATAGACAGCTTTTCTAAATCACTGAGCTCTGCTTAGACAAGTGGTGTCTTCATGGTTGAATTTATGAGTGGATTTGAATAATAAATTCACATTTCAATGAACATATTTTCATTAAAACTGTAAGGTTTATTTTACTGTACTTTTAAATAATGGCTTATTATGGAAGCTATAGTTTAAATTCATGCAGTATTTGAAACTTAGTGCATGGTTACAAGGAAGAGAACAAAAAGGTAAGAAACATTATAGAAGGATATTTAATTCTTTGCATAGTACTGTAATAGTTTTGTAAGTTTTCATAGGAGGAGGCAAGACCATGAATGGACATGTTTAAACTTAATCCAGGGAAGCATAGACATTGTCATTCAAACATGTCCAGGTACTGTAGCGTAACTAAAGTATTCATTTGGATGACCACTTCATATGCCTAATATTTTCAGTGACTTTTCTTATCCTGTATGTATGTATAATGTATATATTGTAATTTTTCAGCAAACATTTAACTTTTGAATGCAATGCTAAGCCTTCAGAGATGCAGTCATGTTCACATGGTCAGAACAGCTGTATAAGCCCTTAATATGCCCTCTTAAGGCAGATAAAACTGAATAAAACTAAGGGAGAAGATTCTAATGGAGTTCTCTTTAGAATTCTTTATGCAACTGTCTGGTCAAGACATGTTGCTTATAATTGATGTGTCCATTACTTGAATTCTCTTGTAATTATAGTCAATAAGTCTTGTAAATGTGTTAAAGCTCACTAAAAGCATACAAATTCAAGAACAGAGTAAGGCTAATAATTTAAAATAATCAATGTAGGCATTTCAGCACTTAATTTCCCTTGTGTGTTGATAGCTGATCATTCTTAATCCATTAAGATTTATTTAGTCGTTTACAATGCAAAATAGGTTTGCACTGGTCACTTGTGCCATTTGAAAATGTCCACCAGGTTAAGTGCAGAATGTAGTCCATTAGTCTTCCTTGACTATATGTATTAATTGCATTTAAAATCAAGTTAATGTGGATGTGAAAGTGAGGTAACTATCAATATATGACAAAGCAACCCTACTTACATAAGTTACATCATTGATTGTAACATTTAGTAAAAGTTAGCATACTTTTTAACAGCTTGCATAGGTCTTATCACCAAGCGTATTTTTATTGTGCTTTAGATTGGTCCTAAATGTACAAAACAGCAGGCTTCTGGGAATAGATTGCAAGTCTGCCATTTCATTTTGCAAGTCATTTTTTTGTGGGGGGAGCTACAGAACAGGATTTCATCATTCCTCCTAGCATCTTAAAATGAATTGCTTTTCTCATACTTTGCTTATGCACATTAAATAGTAATGCTGGGATTTTTATTAATAGTTAACTGGAAGAGGGCTTACTCTTCCAATCCCTATTTTTTCATATTTGTGATTTACTGTACAATTCATATAACCTTTCTTTCCCTGTCTTTATCACAATAAAAGCGGTACTATAAGAAATAAAAGGGGTTTTGGCCATTATGAATGGCAATGAGGGGATGAGATCTACAGTACTAATTGTTATGTACTGCCTTGGAAAATCAGTGGGCCAAAAGGTACAATACTTTTGCTTCTTCCCATCTGTACTGGTGTGACAGCAGGTGTATCATATGGGATGAGCTACTGGTTATTTTCCCATTTTTTACATTGTTTGTTATATTGCTAAATCTTAGTTCAGAATGCAAATGCACATAAATACACAAGCACACTGACATCCCTGTATTTTGGCTGTTTAGATTCATAGTAGTTTTGGTTGTTTTTTGTTTGTTTGTTTTTAGGAGAGGTGATGGAAAAATATCACTAAGTATTTCAAGCTGTAGACTATTAGATGATTTTTAAAGGCCTTAAATTTGTTCAAAGAAATTTTCACATAGCAAATGAAAGGGAACGTTATGCTAGAGAGGAGATAACAAGTAAGTCCATCATACATTGACAAGTGAAAATGAGGAAGTATAAAGAGAAACAAAATGAATAGTAGAGGTAGAAGACATTTTAACTTACAATTCATGGAGGTCCCATATGTTTAATTAACAATCAGTATTCTGAAGTAAAATCACCTGCAGCCATGTCATCCTTGTTTGGAATTTCATCTGGTTTCTCTGGCTGAGGAAGGGTAAGCCTGTTTCATGTCCATACCCCCAAAATTCCTAAGTATAGTAGGAAGTGTGATGATAATGTTGTCACTTGTCACTTTGCCTTAAGGCTGAACCATGACTGGGGGTAGTTGTGGAGATGCCATTTTTTGTTGGCTTAAAACTGAGGCTCAAAATATTTCTTGTCACCAAAGATCTATGATATCTTTCACTAAAATGAGAGTTATTAACTCTATTGCTCTAGTGAAATGACAAAAGCATTTGTTGTGGTCTGTCTTCTTACATGTTCTCTGGTTTCAATTGTTTTACATTTCTTGTTTTAACAATACAGTGCTGTTGCTACCCTAGCCCCTTTACTTTCCATCATTCCTCCTAGCATCTTAAAATGAATTGCTTTTCTCATACTTTGCTTATGCACATTAAATAGTAATGCTGGGATTTTTATTAATAGTTAACTGGAAGAGGGCTTACTCTTCCAATCCCTATTTTTTCATATTTGTGATTTACTGTACAATTCATATAACCTTTCTTTCCCTGTCTTTATCACAATAAAAGCGGTACTATAAGAAATAAAAGGGGTTTTGGCCATTATGAATGGCAATGAGGGGATGAGATCTACAGTACTAATTGTTATGTACTGCCTTGGAAAATCAGTGGGCCAAAAGGTACAATACTTTTGCTTCTTCCCATCTGTACTGGTGTGACAGCAGGTGTATCATATGGGATGAGCTACTGGTTATTTTCCCATTTTTTACATTGTTTGTTATATTGCTAAATCTTAGTTCAGAATGCAAATGCACATAAATACACAAGCACACTGACATCCCTGTATTTTGGCTGTTTAGATTCATAGTAGTTTTGGTTGTTTTTTGTTTGTTTGTTTTTAGGAGAGGTGATGGAAAAATATCACTAAGTATTTCAAGCTGTAGACTATTAGATGATTTTTAAAGGCCTTAAATTTGTTCAAAGAAATTTTCACATAGCAAATGAAAGGGAACGTTATGCTAGAGAGGAGATAACAAGTAAGTCCATCATACATTGACAAGTGAAAATGAGGAAGTATAAAGAGAAACAAAATGAATAGTAGAGGTAGAAGACATTTTAACTTACAATTCATGGAGGTCCCATATGTTTAATTAACAATCAGTATTCTGAAGTAAAATCACCTGCAGCCATGTCATCCTTGTTTGGAATTTCATCTGGTTTCTCTGGCTGAGGAAGGGTAAGCCTGTTTCATGTCCATACCCCCAAAATTCCTAAGTATAGTAGGAAGTGTGATGATAATGTTGTCACTTGTCACTTTGCCTTAAGGCTGAACCATGACTGGGGGTAGTTGTGGAGATGCCATTTTTTGTTGGCTTAAAACTGAGGCTCAAAATATTTCTTGTCACCAAAGATCTATGATATCTTTCACTAAAATGAGAGTTATTAACTCTATTGCTCTAGTGAAATGACAAAAGCATTTGTTGTGGTCTGTCTTCTTACATGTTCTCTGGTTTCAATTGTTTTACATTTCTTGTTTTAACAATACAGTGCTGTTGCTACCCTAGCCCCTTTACTTTCACACTACAAGTTAAAGCTGACGTCATCCATGATTTACTTCAAAGGTACCATTGTCATTTTGGAATAAACTAAGAACCAGGTGGAAAGCCAATAAACGTAGTGTTGTATTTCACGGCGCAAATGAGAAATTTGCATTTGAGTAAAGGGTATGACCAAGACAACACTAGGTTGGACAAAAATTATTTTAAACGCCCATTTGGCAAATATATATATTTTGCCCATTGGTTTAACTTTTATTAATCTAAAGCCTACATATATTTGGTAAAAATCTGTGTATATAGATTTGTTCTACCTAAAAGAACAATCTAGAACTAATTTGAAGTCACCAAATTAAAAGGGAGAGGTACTGTTTTTGTTTCATGTAATAAGTACTGGTGGTAGCCTACCTGTATTTGAATGTTCATAGTATATAAATGGAGATGTTAACGGGCATTCAGCTCTGAATATGGGAAATTAAAAAAAAATAGTCAAGGCCTCAGTGATTTTTTAGATGAGAGCAGTCAACAGAGTAATACATTTATGTACTGTCAGCACGCTGTAGTTAAGACTGGACTGAACTATAGTTTTTCACAAAGGAGCCATGTAAGTGGGAAAACAGCAGAGGTCTTGTACTGAGCCCTGCGGGACACCCACGGTAACAGAAAAAGGAACAAATTTACAATTTGATCAGAGAGAGAGAGAGAAACCAAAAGAAAATAGGGTTGAATCCATAAAATACTTGAATTCTATGAAATAAAACAGTAGTATAAATACTAGTAGACTTCTTTTATCATATCTGGTTATAGCCTTAATATTATTAATTGTGTAATTAGTCTTGAGGATTGTAAGTTAGAACATCAACTTTAACACTTTCTATTTAATGTGAAGGTAAATTGACTCTCTTCAAATTTATTTTATTTGCATGGCTCACTTTATAGAATGTGCTGTTGATTTGGAATGTCACCAAATTAATGATTAATTTAGTTTTATCGGGATCATTTAAATAAACGGGTTTTTCAATGTGATTGATAGAATGTGATTGCTGTTAGCTGCAGTCTCAACCTGCTTTTGACATTTAAACATATAAAGCTGACTAGATATAACCATTCAGGTGCTAAATATATTTTACATCTACTTCTAACAGTAGAAATGGAAGTATTAAGAGATCTGGCTTCATTGTCATTGAACTGTGAAATATTCAACCTTGTCTGCCCGTGCTTAGTACTGTTGACTTTTTTATTTCTGTTAGAAGATTAAAATTAAATGCTTCATTTTTCATCAGCTTTTGGGAATTAAATTGAAATTTAAGACTCTAAAATTTTATACTAAGATCCTCAATTTCAACAAAGTATTCTTGGAGGATATTCTATTTTCAAGGGCACAGCACAAAGGTTCATTGATCAAGTATGATATACTGTAACATTTTTCTTATCAGAGCTCTTTATGTATATTTATTAAAGATCACATATTTCATATTATGCTTAACTGTATTGGAAGAAGTACTTCACAAAACATATACTAAACATATTACGGAAAATATGTGAACATATTGTACTTATTTTTAACTGCAATTGTATGATTCTGATTTATTGATTTAAGGATTTACTGGTTAGAAAATTGGAAAGTGTTACAGCATACTTTAAAATAAAGTGTCACTGCTGGGTTACCTAGGTACTGACACCTGCCAAATTTAACCATTACATTTCAGTAATAATATAATTTTCTTATACTGACTGGGGAGCTGGTGTTAATTCAGATAAAATATCTGACTTTTCTGACCCAGTAAGTTTAAAAAGAATAGGTTGGTCCTACTTCCTCTGAGAAATAATTTTATAATTCTTTGGTCTGCACTAGGCATTTAATATTAAAGATTGTTCTTGAAATAAATAATAGCCAAAATGTCAATACTTCTGGTTTGCAGAATAATCATAAATTTTTTACCATAAAACAGTCATAAAGGCATAATATTTTATCCACTGTATATTCATACATTGCATGTCATTACAATAGCAAGGTGATGAATCATTCTCTGTATGTGACAGAAAAAATCTGAAATACCAATGGTAGTACAAAATCTATTCAAAGTCAGTGGAATCTAGTAAAATTAAGTGATCTGTTCAAACATGGTTGTTTAAAAACAAATACATTTTTAAGTTAACACCATTCCCAAACCTTTTTCTAGATATTAAGAGACTTTTAACCATTTTGGAAATAGCAGAAGACGTAGGGCAACTTTAATCACTCCATTTAAATGTTATCTTCATAGTATATAGTCTTCTGATTTTAATATGCTTTATAAGAAGTAAATGATTATTAAAAGTTAAGCAAGTAGTTTCAGTGAGCTTGAACTTAAGGAAACTTTATAATGAGAAATATGGTACATACCCTATCTGTATCCCTCGAGTTATAAATGTATGCAATAGACATTTTTTTGCTAGGCAAATTCTTAAACAGGTTAAATGTGGGATAGATTTTTTTAAAAGGTTATTTTTCTCAGGAAATTTTATTTCTTTAACCACGGGTAATATAGTGTTCTAATTTAACTCGTATCTTATGCTAAATTTTACTTAGGATCAAAGCCATTCAAGTGCAAGATATGCCACTTTGCAACAGCTCAGCTCGGAGATGCCAGAAACCATGTCAAGAGGCACCTTGGGATGAGGGAATACAAGTGTCATGTCTGTGGGTGAGTAAATTGAAACAGTTTCTACCATGGTTAACCAGGAGAAGAGTGCAGGATATGCATTGTTTCAGAATTCAAAACTGTGATGTGAGCAAGAGTGGCTAAAATTATGCATGCATATCCTCCTTTCTATTGTTATGGTAAATTCCTTAAATACAGTTATGACATTCTTTTCCCACTTCTAATCCTGCACTGAAGATGAGCAATTTTATGGGCTACAAGGTCAATTTGAACCTGTAATCTGTAAATTGACTAAATTATAGGATGTTCATTCACATTGCCAGGGAGAACTGTAAATTCCATTTAAAGACATAAAAAATATATATAATATAGACTTTACTGTGTGCGCGCGCGTGTGTGTATGTGTGTGTGTGTTTTGCTATACTGTTATAATTTTAGTACCATTAACAGATCTGTGGGCTCCATTTAGAGAGTTCATTCTTCAGGAAAACAAAACAGAAGATTGACTTTCAAACAAATGGATCTAAAATGTTTCATGCGCAGGACTTGTAAAAAAATGAAGTATGTTTGTGTTCCTGTTTGTTACAAAAAACCCTCTTGTTTTTCTTTCTTACTTAATGGTTATTGTCTCAGAAGGGTCGTTTGTAATGTTTAATTGTCCTTCAAATGTGTTGCATTTAATAGGAGGCATTGAGACTCCTTAATGCAAAACTAATTAATTTAGCAGAAATGTTTAAAAGGTTTTAAAATGCCATGGCATATATGGTACATCATAGGATATTCAAAGTTGGGTTTTATACTCTACTTCTGATTAAAAATATATTTTAATGTTATTATTCTGGAGAAATTAAGTAATGTAACTAATCATATAAGAACAGTTTCTACTCAAACCTGTGTAACTTGCTGAGAGGTCTTATGGCTAATGCCTAGAACAGCACAGGTTCAATTAGATAATGTAGTGCACACATGAATGGTATGGTGTGATGTTAGGGA